GCTGGAAACTCAATCTGGGTATACTAGGTGGGTGGCACAGAACCAACGACTCAAGCCTTTGACTGCTACCTCCCTCCTAGGCTGTGCATGAACAGGAAGCTGGAGCTGAGAGCAGAACCAGGCCTTGAACCCAGATACTCCAATACGGGATCTAGATATCCTAAATAGCATCTTCATGGCTGCTTAACTGCCCTCCACCCCCTCCCATGCATTAATTTAAATGACTATATAGGAATTGGCCCAAGTGGAGGGATTTTGACTGGTTTTGCACATGAACTTCAGAAAGGTAAATTTGGAGCAGTGAGAGGCCCTTTGGGCAGCATGGGGACAGATGTCTTGGGTAGGTGAGGGTAGGGAGTAGGAAGAAGTGAAAGAAACTCGGGCTTTGGCTGTGTCACAACGTGGTCAGAGGGTCAGGTTAGGGGAGGGAGCAGAAAGACACCTGAGCTGAGGTGGGGAAGAGGCTCACAGAGATACAGGGAGCAGCAGAGATGCAGGGAGCAGGTGGAAAGTACACAGCGCCTGGCTGCCTTGCTGTCAGCCATGAGTTCTGCAAAAATAGATGAGCAGGGAAAGCAGGAGTGGGGTCTCCTGAGATCAAGTGCCGGGGGTCCACAGGCAGACTTACTCTCCAGGGACCCTCCCTGCCACTCCTCCCCACCCCCTCAAAAAAAAACCAGCAGGATTGAAAATCTTGCTATATCCATGTAGCCTGCAGGTCCCAGGAGCCCAGCATGAGGCTGTAGGGGCACTAGAGAGAAACCAGGGGCAAAGGCTTAGCAAGCGGCTTTCTCCCTTGGACCTGAAACCATGCTGCCATACCCAGAGCCTGCTCAGCGCCCAGCGGTGCCTGCCAGCCCCTGCAGAATGCCAGCCTGCCATTGCCGCTTTATGGCCTCTGCCAAATGAAGCACAAACTTAACTACATCACCTCCCCGGCAGGATGAGGGAGGGGTCCGAGGGGCTTCGTGCTGCGCTCCTTCAGCCCCCTAATCTAATCAGTGGTGTGGGTCATTTCAATTATGGCCACCGCAGTGAGGCGGGAGACGTGGCTGCTCGTAAAAGCCCCCTCACCGCTGTGGCTCATCTGCCTGTGAAGCTCTTGCAGGTAGATAACTCAGGGCTGAGCAGTTCTGACTGTTGAGATGGGGCTGAGCTTGGGGGCAGGACAAGGTATACCGAGCTGGGCACAGAGACCACTGAGGTGGGCCGAGGGGCACAGCCAGGGCTGCAGCCTCTAGAAGCAGCCCAGGAGCTGGGGTCTCTGTCCCAGGCTGACCACCTGCCAGCCCACCTCTGACATCGCCTAGCAGCTTCAGAGGGTAAAAATCCAAGCTTGCTGTGCTTGTGCTGACCTTGCCTTCAAGTGCGTAATTAGATCCTGAGAAATGGAAAGACCTGAGGCAGCCTGAATTTCATCAGAGCAGGTATGATGCTGGCTGCCCCATTCTGGCATGTGTTCTTCTATTTGTCTCCAGTTTCTGACCCAGCCAGGAAGAGTCAGGCCAGGAGACAGACGTGTGGTGTCCAAGAGGACAGTTAAGAGGAGAGAAGTTCAACTTCCCTCCACTGTGAAGGTTCCCGGGACAAGTGCTCCCACCACAGATGGCAGAAGCTAGGTGTAGGGAGAGTGCGTACTTGGGGAGCAAAGGGAAAGGCTTTGCCACCCGATTATTTGGGACCCAAAAGGCTGCAGGGGCTCTGGAAGGTCGTTAAGAAGTAGTCAAAGTTGTCTTGAGATGTAATGGTGAGTTAAAAGCTACCTAGCCAGCCTAGAGACTGTGTGTATACTTAACCCTATTGGAAACACCGGTGCCGTCCTCAGAACTGGAGCTGCAGGTGCTTGGTGAATGCTGAAATTACCTTTAGATTCTGGGAAGCAGCATATGGTGAGAGCATTTACAGCTGGGAGAATCCCATTTTGTTCTCTTCCTCAGTTTCTTCCCTCGATGAAACAAGAATCATGAAATAAGTGTTTGAAAGGATTAAGCCAGAGCTGCTCCCATAAGGGCTGCTGGCACCCTGTGTTCCTTCCACGGCCAAGGCCACTGTCCTAGGAAGAAGTGTCTAGTGGATGTGTCCGTAGCACGGCAGGGTGGGGAGGCAGACCTGACCCTGGGAATGAGTTCCTGGTCCTGGGATGTGGTCAGGGTGACCCAACACTGGGCAGAGAGCGCCTGCCCTGGAGTTGGTTTAGGCTTCACCTCTACTGGGGAGAGCCAGAGCCCAGCACTTGATTGTGGGAGAAGGAGCTGGAAAGCTGAACCCACAGCAAGGATCCAAGACTGGGACCTACCTGATGACAGCAAGGTGGATCTTATCTTTGGTGATAAGTCATTTACTTTTCGAAGTGTTGGTCAATATGCTGTTTTGTTTGGATTCTCACAACTCCAGTGATGTGGATAGGGTAAACTCCAACAGCTCTAATGTCAAATAAGATAAAGGGAAGTCAGAGGGGCTTAGCTCCATGCCCTGTGGCTAGAGAAGAATGGAGCCAGAACCCAGATCAGGACTTCTGCATTTTAATCAGGTGCTTTCTCCAAGGCAGAAGGGGAAACCCCACAGCAGGCTTTTTCCTGTTTTCCTCCTCCATGAACCAGGAGAGCAAGCGGAGAAGGCCAGAATTAATAGAGGCCAGCACAGTGCGTCAGAGTGAGCCAGCGGAGGAGGCCACTGTTGGGAGAGGGAAGGGAGGAAGGAAACAGGTGAAGTTTACATGGACACTTCCTGTCGGCAAACTTCTTATGCTCCTCATTTCATTAACAGCAGCGGTGGAATTTCATGGACAATTGGCGTTGAGCACTAACTGGGAGGTAATAAGAGAGGGATGATGCAGATAAAAGCTGTTTGAATTTAAATTCTTTTTCTTCTGAGAGGATGGGGGGGAGCACGTGTTTCTTAAAAGGCAATTTTAGTACTGGAGAAAGCTTCCAGCAAACAGCTTTGGACTTTTGTGTCCCCATTCGGCAACCGAATATGATTACAACCCCACGGCCTTTTCTGCTGCTAATCTTCCTCCTGACGATTGCCCAGATTTGGCCTAGGGGTACGTCCATGGCCTGGGTGTCTGATCATCAATTTTGTCCCTCAGACTGTGTGTCCACCATCAGCAGTGAGTTCAACTGGGTGCTCTGTGGTAGATATTAGAATCAACATAAGCAGCAAATCAGTATGGGCCAGGGCTTAGCCAGGGGATAAAATAGAGAAACCAGGCTAATGGTTCTAGGAGTGTATGGTCTGTTTGACAAGTCACAGGTGCACACACACATGCACATGTGTGCATCTATATAAAAGAGGCCACAAGGCATTCCAAAGGAAAACAATATAAGGCAATGTAAAGATAGAGATGATGCAGAGAGCCATGGGGGAGATCCGGTGAGAAATGCAGAGGGAGGATGTTATTTGGGACAGTGTTCTGTAACAGAGTTGATACACAGATTGGTGAAGCAAAAGAGGAATGGATGGAACAGAAGTAGAAGCCTAGATGCAAATAAGCTTCTGAGGAGGATGGCTTGGCTGGAGTGAAGACTACAGTGTGAAACAATGAAAAGCAAAGAAAGGAAAATGTTAAGGAAGGGTATTTTAGGCGAGGAACATTGGATTTTTATATTAGGATTCGGGTGCTAGGTGACCAGGGCTCTTCTGGTCTGGCCTAGTGGCTTTGTACACAGGTGGGCAGTGAGAGACCACTGGAACTGTGGGGATAATTTTACATGTCAACTTGCTAGGCCCCAGTACTTAAATATTGGGGCAAATATTATTCTAGATGTTTCTAGAAAGGCACTTTTAGATGAAATGAAAATGTAAATAAGCAGATCTTGAGTAGAACAGATAACTTTCATCATGTCAGCAGGCCCTTTCCAGTTGGTTTTGGCCTTAATAGAAGAAGAATGACCTTCCTGGAAGAAGAGGGGATTCTGCCAGCAGTGGATCACCTTCAGACTCTGTCTGCAGCTCCTCCCTGGGTCTCCATGCTCATGACTTTGCAAGTAACAAACCTCCACAGTGATATGAATGTTAGTGATTTGTGTCCTGGAAAAACTGCATAGGTTGACTGTGTCCCAACCTTTAGTACCCTAGAATATAACTTTAAGAATGCTCCTAGGAAGAAGGAATGAAGGTTAAATGGGGTCTTTATGGGTGGTCCTTAACCCAATACGATTGATGTCCTTGTAAGAGGAAGACTGGGCATAGACATGTGCACACAGAGAAAAGGCCACGAGACGCTTCATCAGGAAGTCAGCAATAGGCAAGCCAAGGAGAAAGATCTCAGAAGAAACTAACTCTGCCTGCACTTTGATCTTAAACTTCCAGCCCCTAAAGTGGTTTTTAAAAAATCTTGGTTTAAGCCACCCAGTGTGTAGTATTTTAATGTGGCAGCCCTGGACAGCTAGTGCAAAGACATTCGATCTTAAATTCCTTGAACCCAAGGACCATGGATTGTGTGACTTACCCAGGGTGTGTGCTCACTGAAATTTGTGCCAGATTCTTCCCTGAAGCCTTGGTACCTGGATTTGCTCCAGCAAAGCTGCGCAGCTGGGGAGGCCCCAGAGGGAGATGGAGGCAGTGGGCTTGGCTAGATGACTGGAAACAAGAGCTTCCAAAGGGTGTGGGCTGGTGGAGATTTTTGTGTTCTAGTTGGGACAAGGCTGACTGTGGGATCAAATCTAATGAAGACTGATATGTGACTGATCTGTTGGTCCCCTCTGGTGTGCCTAACACTGTCTAGGACTTAATTAGCACTCAGTAAAGATTGTGTTAAGTAAATGACCAAGGAAAGACTCAAAGATGCAGTAATCTTATTCCTAAAAATTTTTTTTGTTTATTTAATTGAAAGAGTTACACAGAGAGAGAAAGATACAGAACAGAATCAGATATCCTGCCTGATTTCCACAAGAGCCAGTACTGGGTCAGACTGAAGCCAGGATCCTGTATCTCCAAATACCTGGCTCATCTTTTGCTTTTCCTTTAGCAGGGAGCTGAATCAGAAGTGGAGCAGCCATGACTCAATCAGTGCTCATACGGGATACCATCGTCACAGGCATGGCAGTGGGTCTAAGCCATAATGCAACCCCCTACACTTAAAAAAAGAAGCTGTCTAAACATACATGTATGCACATATAGGCCTAGAAGTTTCCTGAAAGGAATTACAAAGGATGACTACATTGGAGGGATGTACTGGGATATAAAGGAAGGCTATGTTTTCTTGTGTAGCTTGTACTGTTTAGACAGACAGTTTCATCATGAATGTATTGCCCCTAGGTCTGCTGGATGCTATTCTAAACCTTAGTGAAAAGAAGCAATGAGGAGAGGACTTCTAAATCCACCATTCCTTCTCCTTCAGTGCCCACCCCCCATAAGAACAATTCTAGCACATGAAGGAGATGAGCCCATTACAGCCATCACAAGCCGCTCCACAGTGCCCAGAGGGAACCCAGGGTGATGGTGTACAGCCCCAGCACAGCAAAGTAGCTCCAGAAGAGCAGCTGATCAAAGCGGTAGAGGAGAGCCAGCCACTCAGCCTCCTGCTGGTCCACCTGGTCCTGACTCCGAAGGGAGTTGTGGATGAACTGGAGCTGTAGCCAGACTTCATTCAGGGTCCCTGCCTGGGCCTGCTGGTCTTGCCAAGTTGAGGATCCTGCGGGACAGAGGAAACATACCCTCAGGTGAGCCCAGGAGCTCCCAAGGACCCCTGGAATTTTCCATTGAAGCGGCTAGATGCATCCAGCAGAACTGGGCACTGGCTTGTGTTTGAGGTGGGATCCCACTCCCCTGCCAACTTAGGAGAGGCAGGGCTGTACTGAAGGGAATCTGGGAGAACAAGTCAGAGCTCTATTATGTAAGTTGGCTGTGTGGGAGCTAGATCCAACTAGGATATTTTTCTGAGTTTCCTGAGTCAACTTCAGCTGACTCTGAGCTATACTTTTCATGTTGAACAACTGGAACTATAATACATATAAGTTCAATGTATGTGCATGTTTGTGTATGTGTGTGTGCACATGCATGTGCCCAGACCAGTACTGCAATCAATTATTTGGTTAAATATTTGAAATGGGAAAACTTTAAAAAGAGAGGGGACAGGGGTAAATGGGACTTTCAAGACAGCCAGCAGGAGGCAGCCTGCAATATGGAGGCCAAGAAGCAGGTGTTTTGATATTTCATAGAACACAGCCTGGTACCTTGAGAATGGGGATTAGTTTTGAGAGTGATACATAACTACACAGTAGTGATCTCAGTACTTTTCACAAACCTGTTAGCCCAGCGTGCTGGGTTCTGGGTTCCATTCTGGGTCTGCTAGCTTCGGTATCCCCTAGAAGGCACAAGAGGGACTGTTCCTGCCCACTGTGCTGTTCATCGTGGAGGAATTTGACCAGCAGGATGGACTTGGATAAGCTGAGGACTAAGAAGGCCATGCAGACAGTGAAGAAGACCCCTGGGAGAAGAGGCAGAGCAGAGAAGGCAGAGTTAGCAGAGGCTCTGGTCCTCTTCCTCCTGTAGTCCGCAATGCAGCAGCACATCTTTGGCAGGTGTCACCTAGGATGGGTGTCTGGAAGCCTTGAGGCTGCTTACCAATCAGAGGAGTGCTCCCTGCACTCCGAGGCACTTCATTTGACATGTTGACCCTGAAGACAGTATAGCCCACCAGCACACTGGTCTTGAACACGATCCTCGTTCGGCAGTTGGGTGGCAGATAGAAACTCCCCAGATCCACAAGCATTAAGAAGATACTTGGAATTAGCAGGCTCACAACATAGACCAATGGGCGCCTGCGAATCACCACCTGGCCAGGGACAAGACATCTGTCAGACAGACTCATGACTGGCCACGTCCATAGCCAGGAACAACCTACAAAATCCTACTGTTTGCATAATCTGAACATTCTGAGTAGTTGAGGTTTATTTTGTGCTCTACAAAATAGGGGGAAAATCCTTTAAGCCCCAAAACAGAACAAACAGTTGTAATAATTATAAGAAGAAACAGTTATTTGCCACTTGCTGTGAGCCAGGCACTAAACTGCTACAAACATACAAGTCAAAAAGTTTGTGTGGGAAATGGAATTAAAACATTAACTTATTTTTAGTAAAAAAAAAATCCATGCATTCAAGAGGTCTTCAAAAAATTTTTTTAAGATTTATTTATTTTTATTGGCAAGGCAGATATACAGAGAGAAGGAAAAACAGAGAGGAAGATCATCCAACCGATGATTCACTCCCCAGGTGAGTGCAACAGCCGATGCTATGACAATCCGAAGCCAGGATCCAGGAAATTCTTCTGGGTCTCCCACACGGGTGCAGAGTCCCAAGGCTTAGGGCCGTCCTCGACTGCTTTCCCGGGCCACAAGCAGGGAGCTGGATGGGAAGTGGCCGGGATTAGAACCGGCGCCCATATGGGATCCCGGTGTGTTCAAGGGAAGGACTTTAGCTGCTAGGCCATGACTCCGGGCCCGAGGTCTTCAAAATTTGATGAAAAAAAATCTATGTGTAAGCATTTCAGAATCTTTCGTACCAAAAATAAACTTACTGTTTTATTCCATGTCCCCCCAAACCTTTTGAAGCATCACATCTGCTTTACCTATTCAGTCCTCACAGGTTGAAGCGTTCAGTGTTGTCTCCATTTCACAAATGAGGAGACTGAGGCTCAAAGAGGTTAATTTCCTTATCCAAAACTATACAGCCAGTGAGAAGCTTTCAAAGCCAAATCCTTTCTTCTCAAAGCACTGACTATGCAATAGATCTGGGATGCTTTCAGTTTAGTCTGTCTTCTTACCTGGAATGCCCTTGATCTTTAGCGCTTGTGAATCTATCAAAGTCTGGGTAAGAATGAACAGCACATCTAAACTGTGGAATTTCAGGAGAGCTCAATGAAGGGGCTATTTGCACAGTGTGGGCTGGATGTGGGGCTGCGCTGGTGCTTTGGAGGATGGGAAGCTGCCACCACTCAGGCCCCAAGGAGCTGAGGGCTGGGAGTGGAAAACCAGACTGCAAGGCCAGAGAGAGCTGTGCAGAGTCAGTGCAGGCGGCGGGGTGGGGTTCTCCTACGAGTGTGGACAGCCTGACAACTGTTTTTGGCTGAACATGGCAAGATAAGCACTGCCTTATCCACCTCCCTCCCTCCCATCTCCTGCCTCTGTTCTCCCTGTCTCCCTACTTTGTCAGGCCTGACCAGGGATTCCATCTCTATGGAGCAAAAGCTCAGTCTGCAGGAGTAAGAACTGGGGAAAGTAGAGGGCAAGGATCTCTTAGAGGAGGGACTGGTTGACACTGTCCTGCTTGGCCTGCACTATGAGGACCAAACAGAACTCTTTGGGGTCTCATGAAATCACTATGACTGTCACTTTTTTTGTTGTTGTTGCAAATATTTTTATTTTTATTGGAAAGGCAGATATACAGAGAGGAGAGACAGAGAGGAAGATCTTCCGTCCGATGATTCACTCCCCAAGTGAGCTCAACGGCCGATGCTATGCATGCCGATCCGAAGCCAGGAGCCTCTTCTGGGTCTCCCATGCGGATGCAGGGTCCCAAAGCTTTGGGCCGTCCTCGACTGCTTTCCCGGGCCACAGGCAGGGAGCTGGAAGGGAAGCAGGGCTGCCGGGATAGAACCGGCGCCCATATGGGATCCCGGGCATGCAAGGCGAGGACCTTAACCACTGTGCCATCACGCCGGGCCCTATGACTGTCACTTTTTTTTACACCTAGCTCCTCTAGGATGGTGATGGGAGACTGTAAAAACACATGTTCTGGGCCCAGTGAGGTAGCCTAGTGGCTAAAGTCCTTGCCTTGCATGTGCCAGGATTCCATATGGGCGTTGGTTCAGGTCCTGGCTACCCACCCATCCAGCTCCTTGCTTGTGGCCTGGAAAAGCAGCAGAGAATGACCCAAAGCCTTTGGGACCCTGCACCCACGTGGGAGACCCAGAAGAAGCTCCTGGCTTTGGATTAACTCAGCTCCAACGTGGTGGCCACTTGGGGAGTAAACCAGGGGATGGAAGATCTTTTTCTTTGTCTCTCCTCTCTGTATATCTGCCTTTCCAATGTAAATTAAAACATACATACATAAATGAAAGAATAAATAAACGAACAAACAAACAAACAAACACATTCTCTCTTCCTATCTTTCCTAAAGAGAAGCCAGGGAAAGGCAGGGCTGTACTACTCTGTACCCTCACATTATTATAACCCTAGGGAGGTGATATCCCCCAACCATGAGACCAAAATAAGGCCTATTTTATAGTGGGTGTTCAATAGATGTGTACGGGGAAAATGAACATTCCAGGCCTTTTGCTACTGGATTTGGAGAAAGAATCTGAAATCTCCCATTGCGCCAATCCACCAACCAAGGAATGCTTTCTAGGAGTCAGATGGCATGCGAGGTGCTTTCATGTGTATGATGTGATATATTTACTCCTCATTACAAACTTGCTAGGACGTAGTATCTTCTATTTTGTGGATTTTTGATAATAAAGCTCAGACCCCTGGGCCTAGCACAATGACTCAATGACTAGGATCCCATATGGGTGCTGGTTCATGTCCTGTCTACTTCACTTCCAATCTAACTCCCTGCTTGTGGCCTGGGAAAGTAGTAGAGGACGGCCCAAAGCTTTGGGACCCTGCACCTGCATAGGACACCTGGCTGAAGCGCCTGGCTTCGGATCAGCTCAACTTTGGTCATTGCAGCCACTTGTGGAATGAATTAGCAGAAGGAAGATCCTTCTGTATCTCCTCCTTTCTGTATGTCTGACCTTGCAATAAAAATGACTAAATCTTAAAAAAAAAAAAAAAAAAAGCCCTGTCCCCATATGTAAGTTGAGTTCCTCATGTCCTCCAGCTTTGAAGCCCGTGTTCTTTCTGACTACAGCATAGCAGGACTCAATCCCTCCAGACCTCAGTTCTCCCTGTGGTCCTCTCCTGCTCTGAAGTATGCCAAGAGAAAGTGCAGGGACTAATACAGCAGAGGTTTGGGGCAGGAGTTCAGATATCACCTCACTGAAGAGAGCTGAGGCTCCCCAGCTGTCAGGTCTGGGAGTGCATCCCGACTCAGTGGAGCTTAGCAGGCCAGAGCCATTTGGTGGATTGTAGTCTGGCTATTGTCTTCCACATTAAACATAATTGGCTGCAGGTATCTAAACCACAGAGACACTCAGTGCTTTGCAATAATTTGGTTAAAACACATTTCTACCAAAGTGCAGTCAACAAGAAAAACAACAAGAGAATTAACTACCATCAACCTGCACCTCTCTAGCTCCCTTCACCACTGTGACTGAGCCAGCTGTGGTTAAGTTGGGGACAGAGGAAAGGGAGTCAGATAGTCAGGGTCCCCCTGGGGGGTTTGTGTTGTGACCTAACAAGGACCGTTGATGACCTTGCCTTTCAGGGTTGGTAGAGATGAGCAAGCCTGCTGTCTCTGGAAGGTGAAAAAGGGACATCCTAGATACTCCATGGCAGATATTACAGAAAGAAGGAGAAAAACCCAAGAATACCAAGCTGAAGAACAGGATAATCAGCAACAGGGAAGAGCCCATGGAGTTCTGAGCCTCTCCCATTCCAAGTGTCTCTATGGGCTGATTTCAGCGGCCTTGAGTGAGCAGGCAAACTCTTCATGCCTCTAATTTCCACCTTTTTAATAAAACAGTTTATTTGCCAAACATCTTGAGTACATCTAAGATGAACTGGTCTGCTCTGTAAGCTAAGGCCAATGGCTAGCACAGGCTGAAATAACTCTTGCACCAGAGGCTCCGGCAGATATTCAACACTGGGCCAGAACCACTGACAGGTGGCTGACTGCTCAGGGTCCCTGATTTTTGAGAAAGTGCCATTTTATCAGAGCACATGTTCCTGGAGTATCAGGGGAAAGTTGGAGGAAGAGCTAAGAGGCTGGGCAGCTGTTGGCTTTATGGGGGATGTAAACTGGGCAGTTACACGTGGCCACACATGGAAAGGCTCTACCAGTGCCATTTAGAGATTCCTGAAACTTTTTGAACAAGTGGCTGGTATACACCAAACCCCACAAGCAATGTAGTTGATCCTGCCAGCAGGCTATTCCTCTAGCAGCTGGAAGCAGAAGAGAAGAACACAAGTGTAAGGGTAGTCAGAGCTGCTATGACACAAAACACTAAACTCTCCTGTCTCCATTTATTAAAAATTGCACAGATAGGCACTCCAAAACCACACCAAAAAAACAAAAACCCACCTAACTTTATCAATACAGTTTCCAGAAATGCTTTCATCTTTTCATTTGATCTTCAGAGCCCTTTATTCCTCAAACATGAGCAGTTGCCAGGCATTAAGTACTGGACTTAGCAGTCCTGTGGGTAGGATAGGACTGCTATGGAATCTGGAGCAGTCTCTGCAAGTTGGCTGCCCACAATTCTGTGGGTACAGAGCAACTGAGTACCCTAATAGACCAGAGCCTGTTCCTGATTTATATGATTTAGGTAATAAGATTCTGGGCCTTTGGAGTTATTATTAGATGACATTTTGGACCTAGAATTGACACTGAAATGAGTTAAGACTTTCTGGGGAGTTGGGATGCAACTATGAATTTTATCATGGGAGGAACAGGTATAGGGTAGTAGGCTGGCTGCACTGGGTTAAATAGTAGCCCCCAAGAAATGGTGTCCTTCCCCAGAATGTGGCCTTATTTTGAAATAGGCTCGCTGAAGTTGCGAATAAGATGAGATCTTCCTAGAGCAGAGTACGCCCTTTTCCCAATACGGCTGCTGTGCCTAAGAGAGGCAGCTTCCAGAGGGGGTCACAGAAAGATGAAGGCAGAGGATGGAGTGATGCGTCTAAAAGCCAAGGAATACCAAGGGCCACCAGCAACTACCAGGGCTGAAAGAGAGCCTGGGAGTAGAATCTCCCTCAGAGGTCCTAGAGGGAACCAAGCCTTGGTTTCAGACTTCCATGCCTCCAGAACTTAGCTTGGAGTACCTCATCATGGAATTCTTGTGACCAACACAGGTGACCCACATAGGAATGCATAGTGGGTAGATGGCAGAGAATGGGGCTGGAGTATACTGTGCAGTGGCAAGTTGTGTGTCGTATGATAGAGGCAAAAGTACCCTGTTTTTGGAGTTACATTGCCTAGGTGCAAGTCCAGGCTCTATCATCATGCAATCTCTATTAAGTAAGGAGCTGCTGTGTACCTCAATGCACCCATTTCAAGCATGGGGAGGTTAGGACTAGATGAACAAATGCTTTAACAATGTCCCTGGCACAGAGAAAATGCTGTTTGTGCTGACAGTCATTAAGTCTCCTACTGGGCAGGTTTTGAGAATGGTGGTGGAGATCAGGAACCTTGTTTTGTTGATTGTTATGTCCTGTTTACCATTGAACCTGGTGCTTGATGAAAGCTCAAAAGGCGTTCATGGGACAGTTGGAGTTGGTTGATAACGCTGCTTTTACCCACAAATGGGTGCTACCCTACCAAGAGGGCTGCTTCACTGCAGATCATGTCAAGTTCCTGCTGGGCCTGGGAAGGGCAGGAACAGAATGTCACCAGCTCAGTGAGACACGGCTCCCTACACAACTGGCCCTGCCCACAGCCCATCATTTCCAATGGACTAAAGGAGCTGATGCCTTTAAATTCCACAGAAAGAGAAGCAAAACACTTTAGTTTCAGTCCGTGTTCTCCATTAGACACCCTTCAGGTGTTAGCAATATTATGCCACAATTTCATTATCCATTAAAGCCAGGTAATAATAAGTACACAAAGGTATTTGGAGCCTATTGATGTTAATGAAAGAGATCAATCTAATTCAGAATCTGTGTGTGGAGAGCTCCTTGGAGATGGAATAGGCCCCAAGGTTAGCCTCTAATGGCCTCCTTGGCGGTAGACCCCACGAGTACTCAATTTTGCATGACCGTCTTTATGACATAGTTGGAATTTTGACGCCCAGACTCACACTTCATACAGGAGCCCATTTGCCTCCTCTTCCAGGCCCCTCCCAACATTCCCAGTCCAGAACGAAGGGGGAAGATGCTGTCAGGAGAGTGACATCCCTGCACTGGAGTGGGAGCTTCTCAGCTCTGGACTGTGAGTTATCATGTGGGATTAGCAGAAAGTTGGTGATTCCTATATTACTTAAGTGACCCTGGAAAGATATATAGAGCTGTAAATTCGTTCTCTCTCCTTTGTGTGTGTGCCCATGTACACACTTAGAAGCTTCTATCAAGTATATGAGCTGCAATCAATGATTATCTCAACAAAAAAACTCTAATCTACAAAAGAAAAAGAAGAAAAAAAGAAAGGAAAAGTGTAAATGAAGCATCTTTCTCCTCCCCCCAAAAAACCCCTTTGTATCCTCTGTTACACCCTGCAGGCACCCCAACTCCTGCCTGAATGAGCCTTTTGCTCAGGGGGAGGATGTCTGTGGTTGGGCTCAGCTTAGTCCCCACAGCTGTGCATCCTTTTCCATCCAACATAAATTCTTAAATTTTATCCCTACATTCTCCTACTCCTACCCTCATTGTTACTTTTTTTAAAAAAAACCCTGCCATACAGAAATCGAATGCTCACCCTGCTGTTTCTGGGAGCCGGCACCTCCGGTAATGTATTGCAGGAAGCTTCCCCTCCCATCGCTGCTGGATCAGGTCCCAGGCTGCACACAGACATCCTTGTAGGGAGAAGTGCCTGCGTTCTGGGCCCCCTGTGGAATGCAGCCTGACTCCAAAGCATCAGCAATGCCCTCGGATAAACAATACGTGTCCCGGAGCCCACAGCTATGATTGCACATTAAGTTGGAACTAACAGGGCATCCGGAGCTTTTGATTAAGTATAAATGGCAGCAGTGCCCATCAGGCCCAGGGTGATGATGTATTTAGAATAGATTGTTGCCTCGCCCCCCTGCCCCACCTGTCCTCAACCTCCTGCTGGGTAGCCTGAACTGAGACTTGGTGAGTGATTAGATTAAGATGAGTTGGCCCTTTCCCGTTAGGACACTGGTAAGGCCCATGTTGGAATGGAACTGGACTCTGAATTTCACTTCGCTGGCCAAGGACGACTGAAGGGCATCTGGATACCTGGGATGTTAAATTCAGAGTGGGATGTGCAGGCTGCAGTAAGCTCAGGCACAGTGCATATTGCTGCGATGGGATTGAGATGGAGAGCTGTGATAGTTACTGAACCTGGGTCTTTCCAAAGCTGAAGAATTTCTCCCAAGTCTAGTGCCCTGCCCTGCCAAGTACATATGATCTGTGACTCTACTTGGGAGTTTTTCTGAAGACCAGGATAGAAACCATCCAGCTGGACACCCATGTGAGCCCCCAGAGCAAAGGGGTTTGGGGAAATGCTCCATGAAATGAAACAAAGCCAGCCTCCATGCAAACATTAACGGGAAGGAAGACCAGCAGGGATTCAAGCCAAGTATCAGGACCATGACTTCTAGACTCATGGACCTCCCCTTCATTAAGCAATTTCCTGCTCATCATAGGAAAGCTTCGGGGATTGTTGAGAAATTATTATTCAGGGTGAACAGTGGCATGTAACTGTGAATAATAGCTGCTCCATGGAATATGTGTGAGTATGTGTGTGTGCACACGTGCAGGTTTGTTCACCTGCTCGTCTCCTCCATGCAGTGTAAGTAATGATGTGTGCAGTGCTCTCTGGAGCGCTTGGTAGGTGACTATGTTGCACCTTGCACGTGGTACTTCCTCGCATTTCCCGTTAATGCTCGCCATTATTCGAGCTGCATTAATAATGTTTGTGGGCTGATATCTTTAAAATTAATGAGGTGTTTACTCTTAGCCAAGAAACTCATTGAAATTTTTTTAAACCTTTCTTTTTTTCTTTCCTTTCCCTCACTTTAAAAAAAAAAAAAAGTGGCCGAACAGGCCACAATGCTAGATTTGCTAAAAAAAAAAAAAAAAAAAAAAGCAACATTCCAGGCCAGTACCCAAACCCCATTGCTAGGAAGATGTGGGTTGGGATTCGTTATCAGCCAGTGTTATTCATGTGTCAAATTTACATCACAGCTATGTCAGAGCTTTGTTGGACCAATACAGGGACCCTGTGTTCTCAGTATGAGCTTATTTCTCTGCCATCCTTTAGCATCTCCTTTACAACTGAAGCCCTGATCAACATTATCCTTCTTGTTCCTGTCTTGTCTCTAGGAGCCTTCACCTTGCGTGCAGTTCTGACCTGCTCACAGTCACTGCTTTCCATTTAGATCTATGACTTGGCATGAAGGTGTCCTCCCTTGTCCCTCCTCTCTACCATGATGGCCACCACTGGCTGACGTGGTGCAGTAAAGCCAAGAGCACCACTGAATACTAATGATGTAAGTCTAGTAGCTGCATGGGCGTTACTGGGAGACATGCTGCCTCTATGATACAAAGCAGCTGGCTTCACTAGCCTGCATCCCCTGGCCCCCTGACCACAGATGATGAACCCAAGAGCAGCACAGCTAAGAGCATGCCTAGGGATGCAGCATCCCTAGGGATACTTTCTCTTCATGTCCTGTTCAGGACGTTGTCTCCTCTGATCCAGAAGCCACCAGTGGTTTCTGAAGGTCCTGCTGGCAATGATTGGGTCAATCTCTTCAGATACTCAAGATAAAATGTAATCATCTAGAATTAATTGATAATTCACTCAGAACAATAATGCTAATGAGAGTTTTCTGTTTGTTGTGTGAATTTCCTTGATTTTTTTTTCTTTAGTAGCAATGAGAAGTTGTAATATTAGTATGTGTTCAAAGAGGATCTCTACCGTAGGGGCTGGTTTGGGTCTCTGGTATTTGAGCAGCATGCTCTCCCCATGCACTTGGGTGGTATCCACAGCACGGGCCCAGGGTCTCTCCTTGGACCACCATTCTCTGCAATGCTGGGGTGCACCTGCATGTGCAAAGCCATTGACCCATCTGTTTTTGGATATTAACAACTGAGGATCCGGAATGGAACAAGGGTCCTGCAGCCCAGGAAAGGAAGCCAGGAACTGCAGCAAAATGGGGCAGCAGGGGCAGAACCTACATTGAACTGAATCTGTGCAAAATCTCCGATGCTGCTCTGCTGGATGCTGTACACAGACGACACAGAAAGCAGTTCCCACTCGCTGTCATTCAGAAAAACCATGTTGTCGCGGTTGATGTCTTCCCTGCTCCTCAAGAAGGCCAGGTCTACATCTTCCACTGGAAACATAGAAGCAATAGACTTCCCTAGGTAGAGACTGAGGCGCCAGCATCAGTACATGTTTTCCTCCCAATTCAGACCCTTCCTTTTCTCCTGTTCCCCACCCTTCCCCATCCCCAAAACACTGCAGTACTAGTCTTGATTTTATTCTAGTCACACACACACACACACACACACACACACACACACACACACAACTATGACAACTATGAATTTAGGACTTAGAGTTCACTCTCCACCCCCGTGGAACAATAGAGCCTGACAGGTAAGGTTAGAGCTTGTCCTGTGATGTCTGTGACATTCTTGTTGGCACAGGAGGCTACATAACACTGGATGCACAAGCCAACAATAGCAATGGGCTCTAACATTGTCCACTGGGCCTGAGCAACAGCAGGAACCAAATACCTGCAAGAAGGTAGTTAGTTTTAACTTTAATAATCAGTTATATATGTGAGAATAAAATAAGCCTGAGCATGATGTCATATCCTGTCATCTGTGTGGGCCAACCTAGTGAAGGTGTGTTTCCCAACAAATGAACTGCAGCCCCATGGTTTACCTGTGTGCAGGATGCTATTGAAGGTCAGGCTGCAGTTTTGGACGTCAAACGGGAAGGCATATGTCTCTAAACCACATGCAGAGACCACCTGGATGGGCTTGGAGTTCTTAATTGTCCCCGATGAGTTCACATAAACATAGGGAAGGTCAGGGGATCGTTCAGTGTCCACACTACAGAGAACACAGAGGATTATTACAAAGAGGGCTCTAGTCATTCCCAAACACGAGACTGGTTCTGAGGTGGCAGTGGCTGAGACACCCAGGGCCAGCCTAGCACCTCAGAACGGGATGACATTTCCCCTGAGATGACTCACCGTGATGGAGACAGGGTAGGCAGTACCAGCCCCATAAGCTCACTCGTTGGCTACTGTGCCAACACAGACTTAATGAGTGACCTCAGTCATTACTCATCAAATCTTCATCTCAGATGAAGTCAACTCATGGTACATCTGACTTGAATATTCCCAACAATGTGCTCCCCCCTTCAAGTTGAGAAACAAAATAACAAACAAAAATGAACAGCCCTTAAAGTAAGCAGCAACTGGAAATTCGCAGCAGTCCAAAACCCCACAAAAATACACCTGGCACGCTTACAATTCATTAATGATGATATCAGGGGCCCAGATGGCACTTCGAGGTAGAGAGATCTCGCTGATCTCATCAAACAGGCTGGGGTTCCAGGATAAAAACTCATCATCCCAAACCTGTGGTAAGTGACCAGAAAGAGCATTTATCAAAATGAGGCAAGGTCAATCTCACTAAAGAAGATGGGAGAGATTTGGATTAATAAACCAATTTGTGAACCCCTAGATTCTCTTTATCAGGGGAGAGAACTTCACACCTAAATCTTTTTTTTTTAAGATTTATTTATTTTATTGGAAAGGCAGATATGCAGACAGGAGGAGAAACAGAGAGGAGGATCTCCCGTCTGATGACTCACTTCCCTAGTGGCTGCAATGGCCGGTGCTGCGCTGATCCAAAGCCAGGAACCAGGAACTTCTTTCTGGATCTCCCACATGGGTGCAGGGTCCCAAGGCTTTGGGCCATCCTTGACTGCTTTCCCAGGCCACAAGCAGGGAGCTGGATGGGAAATGGGGCTGCCAGGATTAGAACTGGCGCCCATATGGGATCCCAGCGCGTTCAAGGCGAGGACCTTAACCATTACACTATTGCGCCGGGCCCCACACCTAAATCTTTTTTTTTTTTAAGATTTATTTTTATTATTTTTTTTATTGGAAAGGAGGATATACAGAGAGGAGAGACAGAGAGGAAGATCTTCCGTCTGATGATTCACTCCCCAAGTGAGTGCAACGGCCGATGCTATGCTGGTCCGAAGCCAGGAGCCTCTTCCAGGTCTCCCACGCGGGTGGGAGCTGGAAGGGAAGCGGGGCTGCCGGGATAGAACCGGCGCCCATATGGGATCCCGGGCATGCAAGGCGAGGACCTTAACCACTGCGCCACCGCGCCGGGCCCCACACGTAAATCTTAAAGCCAGTGCCCCAACCATAAATTCTGTCCATATATCTTACACGGATTCTAATAAATTAGGGTTGTTGCACATCTAAGCAACTTAAAGCACGAAAACAGTATCTAGTTCTTAGAATAATTATATTTTATAGCAGATCTAAGAGCCAGCACACAAGGAAGAAAACATGATCATTTACCTCACGGTACCACACACTTGTTTTTAACTTTTGATTTTGTGCATCCTGCAAAACAAAAAGAAAATCCACACTAAGTCTCAGAATACCAATAAAATCAAAGACCAATTCAACAGTATGACAACACAGAGGAAGAAAATCAAGCTGAATAAGATAATGGTGATTCTAAAAACATCACCCTTCCATACGTGAATATTCTAAGCTCCTAATTGGTATGCACACCTGTTGCTATATGCTTTACTGTATTATTTATGTATAAGAGAATGATACTTTGCCAACACCTGACATCTTGAATGATTTGCAAATCTCTTTTCTATTCTAATTAGTTGCTCTGCCATTAGTCAAGTTTAAAAGTGACTTGTAATTTTAGCCAACTCTGAGCTAAAACGATGAAGCCAAGCTTTTATTTGTAATCAAGATATTATTCACAATCTTTCTATGAGTGTAGAGTTATCTCATCAGCCATTCCTGTTAAGTTATCCCTGCTTGGATTGCTATGCTTATAAAAAAAAAAACTAAATGGCTTAATGTAAATGAGGTATTATTTTAGATGCTATAATAAATGTGATTTTCCATTCTGCAATGACTCAGTGATTTTTTAAAAAGATTTCCAAAAACAGCAACCAAAAAACACGTTCTTCACAGTTTTTTATATATAATCAAGTGAAAAACATTCTAGAACTTTGAGATCTACAATGTTCCTGATGATTCAAAGAAAAGGAATCACACCACATAGACATGAACCTAAAATGGATCATTAACCCAAAGGGAAGATCTGAAACTATGAAACTCTTAGAAGAAAGCATTGAAATAACTCATCATCACTTTGAATTAGGCAACACTTTCTTAGATATTACGACAGCAGAAGCACAAACAACAGAAGGAAAAAATCGATGGGCTGTTATGGGTTGAATAGGATTGTCTCCTCAAAATCCATGCAAGATGAAGGTCGGGGGTTGGTCTAGTACTTGTGCCTGAAAGGTGGGTCTGATGGCGTGCCCTTGCAGGATGGTCCTCTTGAGAGGGTTGATTGTTAGAGTTCACATTCCGCCTAGCTGCTCTCTCTAGTCCACACCTACCATAATCTGGCAGCACCCAATCCAGAATTATCACCTCCAAACTGTATATGGAAATAAACCTTTGCTTTCCCAAGATGCTCCTCTCAGGAATTTTAATTAAAATAATGAAAAGCAGATGAATACATGGGATTTCATAAAAATTAAAATCCAGTGTGTGTATTCGGAAAGAGGGTTTCCAGGATGTAATTAAGGTTAAATGAGGTTGTAACCCCAGAATCCTAATCTGATAGGACTGATGGCCTTACGGGAGAGGAAGAGAAAGAATTCTTTCCACAGGGTGAAGGTGATCCACAGGCCAGGAAATGGGCCTCGCCAAGGATTAAACCATCTAGGTCCTTGACCTTGTACTTCCCACCCCCCAGAACCAAGGAATAAATCTCCACAGTATTGGTTGTGTTAGTTCAAAGTAATACAATCACCCATCAATAAGGAAATCCAAAGCAGGCACACTCATTAGGATACTCTAGAAACAACAATAAATATTGGCACGGATGTGGAGAAATAAGAACTGCTGGGCATTCCTTGTTGGTGGCAATGTAAAACGATACAGCTCCTAAAACAATAACAAACAGAACTACCATACGAGCCATCAATTCCGTTTTTGAGGATGTGCCCCCCTAAACCTGAAAGCAGGGACTTGGATAGATATTTGCACACGTGTGTTCATGACAGCACTATTCCCAGTAACCAAGGGCTGGAAACAACTCTCTATCCACAGATCAATAGACAAGGAAAGTAAGAATATTTTCCTTAAATTGGAATATTAGTCTTAGAAGGGAAGGAAATTCTCACACATGGTGCATAAATAAATGGTGAGGACATTTTGCTAAGTGAAATAAGCCAGTCACAGAAAGAACTAACGCTAAGTGAGCCCACTTGCATGAAGTACTCATGGTAGTGAAATTCACAGAGACAGTAAACGGAAGGGGAGCTGGGGATGGAGGAAATGGGGAGTGATTGTGTGATGGAGCGGGGTACTTCTAGTATACCTGGGATTGTACAGTACGCAGACTTGATAGTCATACACAGGCATTCTGCACAAGGCTGCATCATTGAAAAGAGAAAACAATACACTTCTTAGAGTCACGTTTTCCCTTTTTACAATCAAGAAAGCAAATTGCCGGCAAATAGGCATTTCTCCATACCTGGACTGTGAGCTGTTGCAGTCACCCGCTGCCGTGGCACAGCAAAGGCTGGGCTGAATGAACTCGTTCAAATAGATACTTGGGAAAGGCAGCTTTTAAAGTGATGTACAAAGTGAAAAGATTGAATTCACAAGTATTTCCCTGAGGAGCAGCTTGTAGGAGGACCAGAGGGGACTCCCAGCCAAGACTGGCTCAGCAGGGGTCTTGGGAGTTGAAAAAAGACCTCCACTGAGAATTTAGGATTAGACGACACCACTTCCTTCCAAAATCTACCGGCTGAAAGAGCATGAAATGTGTCAAGCCTCACCGGCATACGCAGCAAAGGCCCAATTCCAGGCTTAGCAACCATCCTTCAGGGTCTCCAAAAACAGAATTAAAAAAAAAAAATACGTAAAATGCACCTTATATTTCTGGTGGATAGAGCTGTTTGTCCTGCCTTTCCCAAGAAACAAACTTGTACATCAACACAGTGTCCTTCCAAGCCGCCTTAGCACTGCCACGCCAGCTCATGAATACATCCGGCTGACTTAGTCCAAAGGCTGGATGTTCCAGTGTTTCGTTTTCACTATCATTTTTATCTTATCAACATGCCAAGTCTCATGCTTTGGGTCCTTTTTCTCTTCCTGCCCACTGCTTTGTCACACTAAATGTAACAATAATGTTAACGATTTTTTTTCTGACACATGACTGGGGTGGCTGGGGAGATCTGTCATTCAGCCCCACAGAACACAATGTAAAAAGTAGTTTGAGGCGAAAACTAAAATGTTTTTTTCTTTTTTTGTTAAAGGAAACAAGTCCCTCGATGCCAGCTGGTGTACATAATTGGTTCTCTTGGTGGCATTATTCACAGCGTTTCCCTCTCTGTAGCTCTCTGCTTTCTTTCTTTTTCTTTAGATACCTTCCATCTTGCTTGTTAAAAGCAAAGGATATTTCAGAGAATTGGAATTCATTAGTCTTCCTAACAGAGGGAGTCTATTTAGATCTAAATTGGTGGTTAGCAAATATACAGATAATTCCCCCACATTCTTATTTATCTTTCCCAGTTCCGGAGACTATAGAAACAGATGCCTCAACGTCTGGCTGCGAGGCTCCAGTCAATGGACTGGAATACAAAGGTATCTGGGATTCGGAATTGATGAAACTCAATAGAAACAAATTGAAACTCTTCCGTGTTGAGTAGATTATCGCTATAATCAGATTTCCCTAAGGTACTCATAATACCAAGAAATTCTCCGACAAGACTGTAGTCTTTTATATGAACAAAACAGGAGGCAAAACATTATCATGGAAGCGAGGTGCCATGTGATGAGAGCTGGGCTGAAAGCTCTTCATTCCAAACACAAGTCACCAGCAGCCGAGCGGCTGGCGGATGCATCCAAGTTATCTCTTCACAATTGGAGTATCCTTACCAGGGCAGAGTCTGTGAGTCATTGTGCCAAGTCCTTCAAAACTGTCCCTGCCCCTGGACAGAACCGGAGATTCAGCCTTCCTAGAGGTGACAGAGCCAGTTGCAAAAACATACTCAGGGACTCCTGGCATTTATAGAGACAAGCCTAGAGCTGGTACTCAGATTTTGTACATTATTCTTTCATTCACTTGATAAGACTTGATCCAGTGTCTTCAGACTAGAGTAAAATGTATGGACATGGTTATGTGTAGGTTTGAGACGAATATGAATAACTGATGATAAATTGGGATGCATGACAGCTTAACACATAAATACACGCAAGAAGAAAAACAGACTTTTAGGGGATTTAAATGAGGAGACACTGTTGTCACCTTGGAGAAATGAGGAAAATATATTTTAGGTGCAGTGATTTGAAGGAATATAATACTTTGCAGATGGGGAATGAAGAGAAGGAAGCAGCAGAACGAACAGCATACGGCTGCAAACAACGGCGGGTGGAGGTTGCTTGTAGCACTGAATGCGTGAAGAAGATGAGGTAAGTAAGAAGACAGGGATAAAAGAGGGACAAGATGCTAGAATTCTCCAGACTTTCAACCGGAAACTAGCCATATACATGAACACACATTTAACATACTCAAAACACGTTTTTGAGAAAATAATGGTGTTCTTCTTACCATCAGGAATATAATTTTACTTTCTTTTACCAAAGTAGGAAGGATGAGTTAGGTTTAGAATGTTTCAATTTGATATACTTGATATACTTTGACAAAAGTACCTTACTCCTTTTCTATATTTATCTCCCAATCATCGCCTAAAGGAACACCCGAGCAGATCTATTTTGTCTTCATCAAGATGAAGTCAGGAAGCAGAAGGCTTACTCTAGACACAGGGTGCCTCTGCCCTGGCAGGGGGAGGGTCGCATGCCATGGATCATAGGATGTGTCTTTTCAAATCACACTTTCACCACTGGAGATGCCTGGTGCACAGTGCAGAATCGCTTACTGACACTTGCATGGCAAGAACAATATTCCCCTTCACCAGGTGAAGAAACAGTCCTGAGACATTAGGTCTTTAAAATTCTAGGTCAATATTCCTTACAGGTGAGACTAGACTTATTTATTTACATATTTTTAAAAGACTTATTTATTTATTTGAAAGGCAGAGTTACAGAAACAGAGAGAGTGATAAAGACAGATGTTCTATCAGCTGGTTCACTCCCTGAATGCCTAGAGCAGCCAGGCTGATGCCAGGAGTCAGGTCTCCTCCCAGGTCTCTCACGTGAGTGCAGGGTCCCAAGTACTCGGGCCGTCCTTGGCTACTTTCCCAGGCCATTAGCCTAGAGCTGGATCAGAAATGGATCAGCTAGGACTCAAACTAGTGACCATGCAGGGTGATAGCATTACAGGCTGCAGCTTT